AAAGATAGACAACCGCAAAAAGTGTTATCCCGGATGGTCGGGATAATCAATCAATTAATCAATGAACCACGGATCGAAATGAATTGAACACTGTTACAATTCAGGTGTACGAATGTCTGGCAAATTGACGCGATTTGTAATGATTTGGCGTAATCAAAATGATTAAATCAGCAAGTGAAACTCAGACGCGAATGACAATCGATCCAGTGATTGGATCAGACGGATGGCGGAATGCTCTGATCATCTGACCGGTCCATCGCATGGCAACAGTGGAGACGACAACGAGGACGAGGACGACAAGAACACCGTGAACAGGTCAGTTAGTACTGGAAGCTAGACCTGGTAGACAAAGAGGGAGACAGAGAGAAAGACGAGACCTGAGAACGCGTCGCTCTCTCAAGTTTGCATCTTTCTTTGTTTAGCTGGGATGAGATTCCATCGAGAGATGTAGTTTTCAAACTGTACGCGACTCAGTTCACTTGGTTGAGGAGTATCTAAATGGGAACCGGGAGCAAACATGTGTAAAGTCAACTGATTAGCTATAAATATGAAAATAATGAGCATCGGGTCAGAGTCACAGGGTCATTCGACCACGGCAGGGAAAATACCGTCTGACTGACATGGTTTGCGAAAGATTAAACACATCGGGCACTTTCTTCCGATAAGTGACATCACCATTAGGTAACCATATATCCAGGATCCCTTGGGTCAGTATATGTGGTTTATAGAATAAACTGTGGTCAACGGAAACGGCCGCTAACGACTCATCCATTTCGTTAGAGTGCTAGAGACTGGCTTACCACCCTCTCTTTAGTCACACCATAGTAGCACGCAGTGACCTCTCCCTTCATCCCCAAAGAATACAAATAATGTTTTAAAGCCTTGAGAAATAACTACTCGGTTTGAGGACAGCATGTTTCATTATTTTTACCAATGTACTTCGTAGGATCAGTGGAATAAGCACTTGAATTACTGTCAGGTTTTACGCTAATAAAGGAACAGTCACAATAAACGTGCAGCCCAAGGAAAATTACTGACAAGCAATACAACCAGTGGGAGAATATGTATACACTCACAAATTCAACAATCAACCTTTGCAGAACATAAGGCATTATTGATTGGAGTGAGAAATAAGACAAATTTCTTATTTGAAGTATGTCTTTTGAAGGTGTATGCACCGATTTGAGTGGCTGTCTTCTGATTACCCATTTGGAGAGAAAAGAGCAGATTGAAGATTGGAACGTTGAGAACAGATTCAAAGAGAAGATGGAGAATTCATCTAGACTGGGGTTGCAATAAAGTTGAGTAGACGCACGGACGCCACCGTTTACGCCACTCAAGCATATCACTCAGAGACACTGAGGTGTCTCTAACCATCATTATCTCGGGATCTCCATCCAGCTGGCCTAACGGAACCTACGGGACCTATTCTCCTGGTAAAGAGTTCTACACCCTCTTGCCAGGTCTTAGTTTGACCGCACCTGACCTTTTCCATCCACGGCGTGCCTCGGCAAACATTACGCGCACACACATCTTTTCTTTGTGAGGCATTCAGTAAAAAAAGACGGGATGTGGGCCAGTTCACAACATCATTGAGCCCAGGATTGTCACTTAAGGCAAATCAAGCTTCCATTAAAATGCAGACAGTTTCAAACAATCAGCAACGATCGAAGGAAAACTTAAGATGGTCAATGGTGTTTACGTCGAAATTACATGGGTTTTATTCGTAAAACGGCAAAATCTGTGGCAGCAATCAAATATATTACCTGTGGGTCTAAACGGAATGAAATCTACTCAAAGGTGTGGTGTGTGGTTTACAGTCGACGACATGGCAACTACTTTTATCTGTCGATTATTCGAGGAGTGATTCGCTACAGATGGTGATGACTAAGAGCATCTCCCGATTGCGCCTCCCTACGAGATATTCAGCCCGATACAAATTAAAACCGTCCAACTGCTTGTGTTTACTGAAAAGTTCTTGGTACTAACATTTTTGTCACATAATGATCCCTGCATTTCTGTACTCTTCTGTTTGCTTGATAGCTGCCAGTTCATTGTTCTTTTTTAACAGAGTGAACATTCTTCAAACCTCATTTCACGTACCATTCATTCAGTTCACCAAGCACCGGGGGTTGAAGTTTCGCTTTCGGTAGAGCTAAGCAGTAACTTTACTACTCATGAGTAACTGTGAGTTAAAAACGAAAATTAATTCGTATTTGGTAGTTCACATGCGAATGGGCACCTAAACCTAAGCAAAAAACTGAATTGGTAGGAGGCAATCAATTGAAGCTAAGATGACACATGTTGCGCCCTCTATGAAAGCGACACCTGAGGAGACAGTTTCAATTCCCTCTCAGTTGATAGAAACACTACCCATGCACTATTGTGCGACGGTTTTGACCAATCTTTTGATGAATCTATAGTCCAACGTGGTAAACCGTGGCTGGTACGGTTCTAACAACCTCTTTCAACGTGAAAAGTTTAAATGCTTGGTGATCAGCGGGTATGAACTACTGATGAGCTTTATTCAGAGCGAAAAGCGTGAGTAGGGTGCTACTAACGTGTATCACAAAGTGGGTGAAATGAAGATGACTGGGTGTGAAGATGAAGAGGTCAGTCATAATGACAGCCCTAACTATAACCCACATAAACTGAATTCCAAATGGCAATCGGTCTGTCAATAATGCGTTGAGAGTCGATTGCGTTAAACTTCAGAAGTGTCGATGTTCTTATTGAACGGATGCCTGGCAATTCGTGATACTTTCTACGGTCAAACTGTATATCTGATGAACGTTAATTCAAGAGAGAAGTTGAAAACTTATCCAAACGAACATTGTTTCATTTGGGGCTAAATTTAAAACACCCACTAAACTCTGTATCTATAGATTCCGCATCCTCCCAAACATGTTATATGCAGTTTAAAAGGTCCATTTTGTTTGTCCATATTAATGCTTTGGTATTAAAAAGTAATCTATCAACCGAAATATTTATCGCACATTAAATTGTGACGCAGAAAGGACATTTCTTTGACAATCGTGTCTCACCCCCCTCCCGATGCATTCTGATTTGTGCGATCTGAAGCGAAACTGGACGAATCTTATTTGCACAACTTTTACTGATTGTCAGTGATAGATGTTGTTGTACATGGATATCTATCTGGTCCAAGTGAGGTGAATTCACAAACATGAATTTGAAGATACGGATGGTATATGCTCTACTTACCGCATCCGCACGTTAACCATGAATTTTACTTCATTTTCTGAAATGATGTCGTGTAATAGTTCACACACCCCGGTTCATCCTGGAAAAACGAACAATAGCTGCCCTGGGAGCACACGTATGTAAAAACTCTTGTCACTGAAACCACATTGAAGGCTATCAAAATTGGGAAGAGCAGAGATTTGTTGTCTCCTTCAGCTTGAAACAAAGTATTGTCAGAATAAATTTCGAGATATACTCATACCCACTTTGGAAGTTACTGATCTAACAAGAGCCGTACTACACATAGATTCAAGCAACCCGTCCTCTTTTCGTTTATGGTCCCCTTATAGGCATCCAACTGCCCCTTTGCGCAGCTATTAAAATCGGCTTGCTCTTCCACATTAGACATTTTATCACCGCGTGTCGCTTCGCAAAGCTCAGATTCGTCCCATACTTGAATACTGCAATCACATATGCGATGGAGCTTCATCAACCTCTGTGTCGATTCTTGAGTGTGTTCAGTATAAGGCTATTCGTCTCATTAACAACAAGTCTCCAGCATGTAACTAGTAGTCATTAGCTCATCATCGATCAAAATCTTGTTTATCGTTATTCTACCGCTACTAGTTCGAATTTTGTTTTACTGAATTAGTCTCTGCCATTTTCTCTCACTTCCTATTCCTCATAGTTCTGTACAGAAGCGGCTAGTCACCCATTCCCAATAACCAACCATAAGTGTCACATTTCTAATTTTCAGCCACCTTTTTACAAATGAACAACACAACTGTGAAACACTCCCCGTTTCGGTCTTCCCTCCAGCATACAACATATTTATCTTTTACCGCAGAATAAACAAGCTGGTTTGAGGTTGAGTGTTTCATTTTCATTCTACTATGGGGTTTAACCCCTTTGCTATAATCACCACTGTGTAAGAAAAGAACAATATAGATAATATAATAACGTCGTGAGACTACTGTACTTCATCGTGGCTGGAGTTTCAGTTTTGGTCTATATAATCATACCTTGTGCACTTCCGTCATACAGTTTTGATCACCCATCAGTTTTACGAATAGAGAACCGCTAGAATGCACATCACAAACAGACGGGTATCAGCGTTTCTTACGCGTTTCGCGCTATCGAAAAGGGTAGTAATATTTTTACTTGTGGTAATATATAACATAAGTATGTTTCACACTTTTTACACAAACATAATCATCAATTACAGTTTCTATTGTGTATCTGACGTGCTGTGTTTTCGTATGTGAGACTGCTTGGATCAATCCTATTCAGAGCTGTCTGTCTATCTGGCTATCTTTCTGTCTGTATGTCTATCTCATTGTGATTGTCAATAAACCACAATGTGCTTGGTGAAATGCTGATATCTGATATCAACTAACACAATCGCTCACTGGCTGTAAAGGGTTGAACCACCAAAACCCAATATTTGGCGTTTGTCTAATGCATGAAGAACAGTCCCACATGGAAAGCGGTGACAAAAAATGTTACTAATGCAAAATCAAATAGTCAGCACCAATCCCCCCCCCCCGCCCACACACACACACAGTATGTGTGAGTGTGTTCGGTTAGATGGGAGAATGACGAGACAACAACCTTGAAACGTTATCTGAAACGCTGCCTCGCAGAAACACAAACATCAATTAAATCCGGCAATTTCGTAATCAGAACTGACATTATCATTCAATCATCGAGTGAATACGCATTTCGCAAGAAACCTGAGACGACAAATCTGATGTATGGATTGCTGATTGATCTGTACACAGGTGTGTTTAATCATTTTTTCAGGGAACAAATAACCACACTGCAGTGCGAATTTCAGCTGCTCGGGCAAGTAACGGCTAACACAAAAAGGAGCATCAGTCCGTTGTGAGTGCATACCTGCGATTCGCACGAATGCGTTTTCCTTAATTCCAGTTCCGATTCAATCTCACGCAACTGTTTTCGCAGTTTCATGATTTCCTGTTCGCGTTGGGCAAGCAATTCTGTGTTTGGCTTCTTGTTCAGGCTGATGGAGCATGAGAACTGATGAGAAAAAAATGGCATACAGGTCGACAATTATGCGGATAAAACGAACAGCAGTGAAAGCATAGGCAAATTTAGTAATTGTAAAGTTTAAGATTCTCCACTTCAGCTTATACTAAACGTTGAATCATACAAAAATATTTATATAAGACGATAGCAATAGTATTCATATCAGATTATATCATTTTCCTTTTATTGAATCAGTGTTCAAACAATTTTCAGAGATTTAGCTGTGGAATATCAAGGGCTGAGCGTAAGACGGTGGAAATGGGAGATTCAATAAACACGACTCTGCATCAACAGGATCATGCTATTGATGATATGTAAGGCCTGAATAGCACTGGATTCTATAACCCATTTCGTGGATAGGAGAGCTCAGTTTAGTTCACTTTTACAGTCATTAACCATGTACTGTTGTGCGCCGGTTTTGGTTGCTCATTTGGAGAAAAAAAGAACAGAATGAAGTTTGGAATGTTGGGAGTAAACTTAAAGAGAAGAAAGAGAATTAGTGTAGTGTAGTGCAAAAATATTGATTAGATGCATTCACGTTATTGTTCACGACACAGCCATATCAATCAAAGTCTCTAACCACCACTTACCATGATCGCTGGGTTCCCAACCGGGGCGCCTAACGGTACCCAGTGTCTTGCTTAGGGTTACAAGACAAGAGAAATATTACGCCTAAATGATGCACGTACAGTTACATCAGTAGTTTTTGTCTAATCAATGGGTGAGTCCAAGACCCTTAGGTTGAAAGAAACAACAAAACGTAACTATAATATACTAGCGCAGCGGCACGTACAGGTATGCTCAGGTATGCAATGCACAAAAACCTACCGGATGTCCATTTTCTCGCTCAGTACACGAGGTGACGAACGTTGGTGCTTCTGAAGCAAAAGCGGATATTTGCAGTTCGACCAGACGTGATCTGAGTTCAGACAGTTCACCATCGGTACGATGCATGTAACGATTTAGCCACCCTTCTAGACGAGCAACCAACTGATTGCAAGTGGCTATCTCAGTTGCAAAAGTGGCCGGATCGAGGCCAGATTCCGCGTGTCGGAGAAGCTGTTGCAGACTGGTAAGTTTGTTGCGCAGTGAAGTGACCAGGACGTTTCGCACAGTGCCACTCGTTTCACTACCGTCTTCCATGTGAGGGGTGTCCAAGCACTTCTCAGCCTGTCCAACAGCCTCGGAGAAGCGTTCTTGGAATGCTTTGAGTAGATGCCGTACTTCTATGCAGGCGGGTGAATTGCACGGTCCAACTGGTTGCTAAATAAATGAATGTGAAAGACACAAAACATGGGCGTAGCCAAGATGCAGTAAATTTGGTTACTGCAGAGTCAATGGACGGATAAAAGTATCTATGGTGAAGAGCAACTACGTCATGCTCTGTACACTTGTGAGAAGATCACCTTGCCCATTTGAGCAAATAGGTACCCGAAAGTGGCAGTGAAAATTGCTACATGAAAGAAAGAGCGAGGATAATGGATGAGTAACCTGGAAACGATCCTTTGGTTCCTGCGGAATCCACAATATACATCGCCTAAGTATGGTCGGGGCTAGGTGTCTAGAGTTGCAGCTGGTCACTTTGCCCTTGCACCTCGAGAAATGCTTCCATATGACCAAGCGTCTCCAATAGCCCCTGCTGAGGAAGCTCTACTCACTGCCTTCTCGTGGAGGTGTTCTTCGACCAAAGTGAGAGGACGAATAGCCGACACCCGGGACTATAACCGGGTTGGTGGACCACTGGTAGTTTACCTTGGGGAGTTGGCCAAAAACCCTGATTCCAAATCGACCAAGAAGAGGCGTACGAACCACACACTCACCTTCCCGGTTGTGGCAGTGGACACCGGTCGAATTGGGCATTGAGGTGTGCTGGGCACCTCGACCACGTTCGAAGGGCGTATGATCCGATGAACTGGACAACTGTCCCAATGGTTTGCGGTTTTCATGCAACGCCAACCCGCTTCTGTGCGGGTCAGGTTTTGACAAGCCGAAGGCTCCGGCTGTGAACTTCCTAAGAAAATTCATCTGCATTGGCCTGGACAACCTGGCATTATTCGGCCCACATGCAAATCGTGGAACGTTTTTCTTTTTATAAAGATTGTTGTATCATGATTTGTTTGGCACAAAATCTGACCTCTGATGGGTATAAAATATAATCAACAATAATACAATATTCGCCTTTGGTTTGACTCAAAATCAACTAGGCGTTAAGTCATTCGACTGAAATTTACGGTACAGCTGTTGCATTTTTTTCGATGCTCTCAGCGACAAAAAAAATAGACTATTATTGAAGACGACCTATGCACAAACAGAACTTAGCAGTTTTGGATGAAACCGGGTGTGAGCCGATCGATACATTGATTTAAGACGGGTTCACGTTTTAATCCTTTTTCAGCCGGTGGTTGTGTATCGCTGATGAGTTCTAATGAGAGAAAAATTCAAGTATTGTGAGCCCTCCGCCCGTGGAGTGTACGATCGACTGAATCAAGTGAACCAATCGTGCCCACAGTTTTCCGGAAAGCTTTTGTGGAGTGAACTTTCCAGCAAATTACGATGGGTGGATTTGTGCGTACGTGTATCTCCGTTTGGAACACCGAATCAGATGAGCGCACTGCGCCAGTGGAGTATTGCACTCGTAACCGTGAATTTGACTCAGTTGTTTCAGCGAAGGAGCTATGGATGATGTGACCGTGTTGCCGCCTTGCTTGATTCGATGATTACGGATTTGGTAGACAAAGGCAAACAAGGTACACTTATGGATCTGAGAACGATGAACTTGTTGTTTTTCAGGAGCCAACAGTTGATAATCGGTCTTTTCATCATTATTATCCCGTCAGGATCTGAAGCAATCAGCTCTGGAGAGAATGTAAACAATGAGTATAGTAAAATGAAAAAAACAACCGGATGAAATTTTTTGAGGATTGCTTAGAACTGAACGGAGTAATTCATGTACGAATATTGAGCACAAGATCGTCGACGTTCTTGACTGACGGGAATTTCAAACAACATATCATACCAAAAATGGTTGCAGGTTGCAGGAAAAGACAGTCTAAGCGAAGTTAAAAAAGCAATTAATTCGCGAAGTTAACACTTGTGGTGGTTTGCGCAGACGTTGCGTGATCCCTTCTTGAAGATCGGAACGATAAACGATTCATTCGAGGGTAAAAGGATACGCTCGTCTGACCAAATGCTGTGAAGTAACCCACTATTGAGTTAACACAGTGTCACTCTCAACTTTAAAAAAAATGAGGGGAAGCACGTCAGGTCCAGTTGCCCTCTTTTTATTTAGCAACTGGATACAGTCTTACACTTATAATTGTGTTAGGGACTCACATGATCCTGTCCAAGGAGTTTTCACTGCAATCGCCGCACAAACACCAGTCCAACTGAGAGGCTCACTAAAATAATCTGTCCAGTGACCAAGTCGCTGCTCCTTACCGTGGATACTTTGTTCACTTTTATCTTAAACGGTTTTGCTGACCATAATGTGACGACATGCGGTGCTGCACATAAGGTCAACCTATCGTAAAGGATACTCCAATTGCAATAGCTTTTTTTGCCCGACCAGTTTTCTTAATCTTTCTGTAGGCTTTTCCTGAGTTGGTATTGCAGACGCCACCGGTTCCTATGTTGATTCTGACGGGTTGAAATCTTTTGCTTTTGTTCCATCGGGACTACAGGATTCTTGAGAGATTTAGTACTTTCGAGAAACTTCGGATTAGATCCCACAAGCAAAGTTTACCACCGAATGTGTCGTACATTTAATTTGATCCCATTGTCGATCTGCTCCACCATATAGCGATGCTTTAAGCTCTAATCCGAGTTTCTCTCCATAACGTGTGCAAAAATTTGGGCTGTATAGATGATAACTCACTGAGGAGATGTTTTTGCCGATTATAGGTGAGTAAAAGCTTGAAAGGCATCATGTCTAGTGCATGATCAGACTCAAAACAGCTGGTCCAATAGGATCTGCAATTTCGCAGGGAGTCACACAAGCGGTAGATTACAGCCATGTGGTCAATTTGAGTCCACTTGCCCGGTGAACTCACTCCTTTGAATGAATGTGATCAATGCAAACAAGGGAAATTCTGCGCTGCGTCGTATATAAGACAATGTAACTCATTTTCCGGAATACGTTACAGTCAACTTCTTTGGCGGTGGTGGCCAACTGGTTAGGTCACCAACCTACGACCTGGGAGTCCCGGGTTCGAACCGATTCACCGCTACCCGTCTTCCCTACTTCTGTATTTTCCCAGGCAGCATTTGTATGGCCACGGCCCCCCTTCTTGGATGTTGACTGTACATTTGTATATTCAATAAATAAAAAAGGAAGAAAAAGCCATTTATTCATTTATTGAAAAGGTTTTTACCTTAGTGTTTTCGTCCGCACCAGTCTTAAGTTCAACGTGCTGGACGAAGTCCCTTTTGGTCATACACTGCGGTTTCCTTGGCAACGGAACAAACACACCGTAAATAAAAGTATCCTGGTCTTCCGTTTCAATCTTGGAAAATCTGACATTCCTCCAAGGTACCTATCGCCGGTTTCCATTTTCGCATAGAATTCTACTTCTCATTCAAACAGATTCTTATTGATTAACGAAATATTTATCAGACAAAAGAATTCTTATCCTCTTCCTGATGTTTTTTGCATCACGTTAATTCATGATGTTACGTTCAACAGACCTGAAATCTGTACAACGAAAGACCAATATTTTAGCTAAGCAAACAACGAATGCATACATTTCAACAAAAGTCTCATACTAAAGGTTTTTCTATGGCGAAATCGTATTCGTCCAGACTAAAAGGCCCGAATCTCCGGCCTGGCACATACTGGTTCAATTCATCTATTCTAAAACTTCCCCAATGGCACTGAAAAATATCTGACTATTTACCAATGGCCGTCTCGTTTACAGACATACTACTGCGTGTTAATTTGGCAATTATTGAACTCAACCGACTTAGTTTGGGCCGATCAGCATTCACAGAACTGATGCATATGGGTGTAGTAGATACGGAATTGTGAGAGAAATTAAAAAGTTAAGGAACACATACGCGTATATTAAACAACCGAGTATCTTTACGTATCTTTATACTAACCCTGCGCAACTCAAGTAACCGTAACCGCATTTATACCTCAAGCCGGTTTGGTGCTCAGGCGTACACCTCGTACGAGGGCTGAGCAAAACGTTTCCGGTCAGGCAGTATACCAGTACGAGGTGCAGATGGTCGGGAAAGGAAAACGCGAACTGTAATCTCCTATTGTGAATACGGTTCGGTGATTGCAGCTCGTATAGAACTGAATATCAACAATCAAGCACAGCTCATATGTCACAGGAGGGTCCCTGTACTTGAACTGTAGGGATGGAACTCAGTCCATGTTACGAGAGGGCGGTGGTCTTCTACGACTAAAGATGTGGTTTAAAGCAGCAGCAGCAGAGTGTTGATCGTCGGCGAGCTGCCTTTGGTGATGAGTCTCCGTGTGACCTTTTTGTATTCCGAATTGTCCAGCCTCGTATCAAAAAACAATAGGGTTCAGTTTCAGTTTGAGTGGTGGTGGCGCAGTGGTTTAATCACCATCACTAGCGTGATTCAGACCCTGTGATCGGAGGTTCGAGTCTAAACTTTACCTCATGAGTCCCTTTATTCGCTCCAGCCCGTATTACTTAGAATAATAACTTATCCCGGACTTTTCGAGATGTGAGGTTACATTAATTCATGATTAACCTAGACTCTGATGGGAGGAAAGTAAGTAATCACATTTGTATACCTCTAATTTCTATCGAACATCTAATTTTCGCACACTTCGGTGCATAAACCTCTCAAACCTGTTTTGTGGACAGCTTTCATGCTCTGCATAAAACAAGGCAGTGAACAAGGCCTTAAATTCAATGAATAATGGTTAATGAATAGAAATTTATCTAACTAGAGTAAAAGAGGACGGCAAACGCACATACCACAAGAAATAAGCGTAAGCAATAGATATCCCCTCATTTTGTTTTGGCCGTGTTGAGACCTTGGTAGTTATAGGATGGTGACTAAATTTGGTATCCGGATAAGCAGAATTCCGTGATTTGGGACTGAAATGCAAGATTAGCCACTCATAACATTAATCGGATGCAGATTATTATTATCATTATTATTACTATCATTATTATTATTATCAAATATCAACTACTTGATCAACCTCAGTTTAGGTAGGCCAGCCATATGACCGAGAGAGATATCACTAATGTATTCTGCATCCACAATCATTTTTAATAAGGAAGACAAATTTGGAACAAACCACATCTCTGGTCATTTGGTTTATTTAAATCAAGTATATCTGGTGCTTAACGAGTATGAGAGAGAAAGATGATCTGCTAACCTAGTTTTCCAAAGAAATTTATTTAAAAAGAAAATATTCATCCCGCCTGATGAGTTGGGTGAAAACGAAATATTGAGCGCCTTGTTATTAATCTGCCGTACGTGGCACTCTTGGAAGTGATAAATTTATTGGGCTAATGAAGCAAACTCTTGGAAACTGCCACGTCCAAAACGCATTCCCAATGAGCTATACTCTCTTACGATGGAGCTCAATGTCAAATCTCAGGCAAGGTTTATCATATAAATTTTCTGATCACGTTGTACATATTTTTTTCAAATTTGAACAGTTTCTGAATCCCTATGTTATAAAGTCGAATTCCTTTAGTTACCTCTCAACACCTCACATCGGAATGTAATCGAAATCGTTTCCTCTGTGTTGACGACAAATTAGTTATTCATCTCGAAAGTGGTCTTTAGATACCAGGGTGATGCATGTATGGGAGAAAACTCAAAAAGAGCCTTTTGATTACCAATTTAGTATGCTCTCTATCAAAAAGCGATTAACCCAGGTGGTAAAAAATAATGTAAGGCAGGCCGGTAATTGATAAAATGGAAATGTCATACCCATGAGTTATTTACAGAAATAAACTAGTGTGATTTTCTTTTCTACGGAGGTTTGTTGTCTTTCAAGTGATGCACCATCGAAATCGTACTTTTAGGAGGCATTTGAATAACAGAAGCAGTAACATAAGTGAATACTATCACATTTGTTGTCTGGTGTGAGGTAACACCAAAGTTACTCTAGTGAATGAGGCTAAAATGCTGTGTAGTGGAGGGAAAAGAGAGCCGGCGCAAATCAGGTTTCTGTACGAGTCTGGTCCATAATTGCGTAATTCCTAGTACAGTTGACCTATGAAAACCGAAAACTGCCTTGCGGAAAGCCTATATTAGGTGGAAGGAATAATAGCTAACAAATCTATCCCCGGTGTCAGCGAAACAGAATTTTAGATAGGCCTTAAAATACAGCGGAAAATTTCATCGATATTCATAAATAAACCACATAAATCTCTCACCGAGACCACGGCCGTAACTGGCGAGTTCTGAGAATTAATTGTATGCTTGAGGGCACGGTTTTCCGCTTCCAAATCCTGAATCTGACGTTGGAGTTTCGAAACATTTGGGTCTGTACGAGCTGCCGTAGGTGGCTTGGAGCTTTTTGAATCATTCTGTTGCTGTCGATAGTTGGAACGGGAACGTTCACGACTGCGCCAATTCAATTCTTGTGAACGTGATTCTGAGTACTCGCGCAGCATATCCTCGTAAAGAGCCTGTGTAGGTGTAAAAGAATAAAATTTTTAAACTGATCATGTTACGTACGAAGAGAACGAAATTTCAAGGAATGTAAGGTGCACAGGGTTTCGGTGGTGTTATATACACACAACAGTATTTCTAAGCTAGGCGTTTGAGATGGCTCGTCAGAATGAGAGAAAAATGTTGCACAAAGTATCGGGCTAAAATGAAACCTGTGAATTTCGACTAAAATGATCTAATTAAAAATCCATTTTATTGGATTCGTTCGTGTTATGATCAGAGACTTGCGACAGAAACGAGTGGACATGGTGCGCGATGTGAAGTTGACTGGACCCGAACCATCGGTGCTCCACTTGGTCGCTAAAACATTTTTGTGTTCAGACTCCAGTTACTGTCAACTTTTGTCAGTAGTGCAAATGAATAACGAAAGATTTCACAAACCATTCAATAGCAAAACGGTAGTGCGTGGGGAAACGGACAACAAGTGAGCACCGTTCGATATGAGTAAACCTGTGTCCTCAAACTCACCTTATCACTTTCAGATGGCTGGTTTATCGTTTTGAAACAGATGGGAGCAGACGAAACCGCCAAATTTACTTACGGAATGCAACACAATGCGGAAAGACTCATGGCCTAGAAAACTTAAGTGCAAACATATTTCAAGGGGTCATGAGTAACTTCTCACCATTGCGAAATTCCACGGTGAATAGGTTAGTTGCGCTTTCCGCTGTTTAGATCATTTTAAAATGTATGATAGGAAATTCACTTATATCAGCCAAGCGTATTCAAGTGTTTTTGTCCAAATATCACAAAATGTAGCACGGAGTGCAGTCTGAAGGGACTTGCTCACATTCGAACGTTTTTACCACACTCGGTGCATTCCACTCCAATTGTCTGACGACTGTTCTGTTTACCACATTGCATCACGATGATTTAATTGTGTCCCCAGATGACCTCATTTTCGGAGATCAATCGGCACGAATAACATTCGGGTGCATCATCATGTTCCGTGTGAATGTGTGACACCCATCT